TGATTCACTATGACCATTAAAAGCATACAAAATTGATGAGTGTGAAGCCCATAATATATTATTTCTCCCACTTGGGCATGCTTCACTATGACCATTAAAAGCATACAAAATTGATGAGTGTGAAGCCCATAATACATTTCTCCCACTAGGGCAAACACTCAAAATTACAAGATTAAACACTAGAGAAAGTGGTTTTCATATAACAAAATATAGTCTAGTTGAATAAATAAAGATAGTATACACAATCCATTATATAACATAACATGGCAAATTTTTTACGAAGTTTGGAGTTAGAAAAATCTATCAAAATTGTAATCAAATAGGACACGTTGCAAGGTATGCAAAACTCCATCAGCATTTCCCAAGCTCTACCAAAATTTCAGATTTAATCATAATTTAAATAAAATCAATTTACAATGTTTAATATGCTCAAAACACAAAAATTTCTTAAATAAATTAGAGGTTCATTTCATTAGATAAATAACCTTTAATATGCCCAAAACTGTAAAATTTCTTAAACAAATTTGTTGAGTCACAAAATAGTTGGTTTGGACATAATAAACCAATCTATATGTATCAAAATTAGGCTTATCTAAGGAACAATATCTCAACATCATTAATCGATAAAGGTGACAAGTGATTAGATAAACCAATGGCTACTTTAATCCAATTTAGAACTCATAGAAAATTAAGGCAAAAGATTGGCAAATTTTCCTACTCATTTTCGATTCTGCAAGATTCATCATGAAAGTAGTCGAGTTGTGGAGGATCGAACCAACTCCAAATTGCATGATTGTTACACCTTTAGGCAGAAACTAATCATGCAAAGCAAATACTTGCATAGTTAGTCAAAACATAAAATACACAAAATACATATAGCTTCAACAGCTTTGGCCAGATGAACATATGTTAAAAAAAAATATTTTACGATTAGCTATAATACTAATTTATAATTGGTGAGTGATTTCCTGAAATTCCTATTGGGACAAAAGTATTCACCATATAAATTAGAATTCTGATTTTTCAAAATAATCTTTTACAACAATATTAAATAACCGTTTTGTTGGATATTTAATGATTCTCAAAAGATTCAATCAGACATAAAAGTATGTCATTGTTGACATTGAACAATAGAGTTATCGAAAGAGGAAACATGGTTATTCAGTTATTCGATAGGGACCAAAATGATCAATTAGTAAACTGATGCCACTTTCCAATTTTCTCTCAAAAGACAATTATCATCATAATCAAAATTGATAACCAAACAAAACATTGGTTTAAGCAAAACAAACCAATACATCTTTAAATCAAAATTTAATCAATGTTGTCTAATAAGAGTCATTAGTATTAAGAATTTGCATTAAACAAGGCCATATTGGAACCATAAACTAGTATAATAATCGGTACCAATAGATGTGCACAATAAGTGAAAACAATATCACATAACAAAACTAGTTTTGAAGCACCAAAATTCAGCAGTACTACTTCAGTTTGCAAATTCACTAAAAAACTCAATTCTCTTTAGATTGTCATGAAAATTTTCAAGTATGAACTAGACATATATGACTACTATTTTGCAAAATTTCATGATTTTTAAAATCTTATAAGTGAGCCAAAAATGAATTCGGAAAGAGAGGTGCTGCAAAAACAGCAGAAAATGGTAAGTACATACCTAAGATTACAAATTCATCAAATATTCATTGTTCATCCGATATGCATCAGAATTTTTTTCAGACATAAAGTAAACATAAAAACCTGTTATTTCCCAAAATTTCATAATTTTTGAGATTTTACAAGTGTACTAAAAACAAATTCGAAATAAGTTGTGCTGCTGAAACAACAGAAATTCTGCAAAACATACCCGAGACTAAATAATTCACCAAACTTCAATCTTCCTCCAATGTGCACGAAAATTTTCAGAAATGAAGTAAGCATATAAATTTACTGTCCCCAAAAATTCCATAATTTGTTCGATTTTACAAGTGGGCTAAAAATAAAATCGAAATGGAATGTGCTGCAGAAACTGCATTAATTCTGCAGTATAGTCTCGAGATTAAAAATTCACTAATAGTTCATTTTCAAACCAATGCTCGTGAAAATTTCCAAATTTGAAATAAATATCTCAATGTATATCATACTAAAATTCATTGAATTTATCAATTACATAAATATATCAAAATAATATTACAAACACACTATTCTGCAGAAGTCTGAAGAATTCCAGCAACATGGTATCACACTTAAAAATTTACCACAAATCCATTTCTTGTCCAAAAGACATGAAAATTTTGCATGTATAGAATTCATTATATACTTGATACACAAAATGCAAATAGGTAACAAAAATTCATTCTTTTGGTGATTCGACAAACAAGGTCTCCCTTTTCATCATAAAAGAAAAGGATTTAGTCATACAGACAACTTCGCTTAAAGTCTACATCAGCAAAATGTCCAAATTTGGTAACCATATCAAATTTCAATGCAAAAGCCAAAATTATGGACCGAACTACAATATTTAATCATGCAATCAATAACCCGATGTAGTTAAAATATAAGTTACTATAGGCAGAAAATCTAAACACTACCACTTCAATTCTTCTCTTTAATACAAGGGTAATAGATTCATGAAAAATAATAGAATAAGAGTGAGCGGAAGCATGAAAATCCCAGAAAAACATAACAATAGGATTATTTTATAACGATAAGAAAATTTGAGAGGATCCATGTATACACAAAAATGAGGGAAAACAAGAAGACAAACCTCACAAACTCATAACAAAATTCCATATTAATCCATAGAAGGATTTATATATAAGTGTTTGAAAATAATCGATATCATGTAATTTATTCAAAAGCATGATTCAATTAAATCATACCCATGTTTCCTAATGGCGAGTGATTCTCGCCGAAAGACTCCAAAAATGACCAAAATTTTAAACTTGACCATTGACAACGTGAGTAGTGATTGAAGAACGGCTTGCCCGTGACCAGTGTGTGAGAGAAAAATTTGAAACACCATGAGAAGCCATAGTAATTATTATTGTAAATAGGAATCCAAAATTTCTAACAACAGTAATGTTAAACCAGAAAACGATTAACAACATGTTTCGCTGGTTGAAGAAACAAAAGCTTATATCAATAGTAACACCTTTGGGCAGAGACTGAGGATATAATCAAAAGTTGCATAACCAAAACAGAGAACACTTAAACATATATAAAATTCAACACCTTTGTGGTAGATGAAAAATATACAATCTAAATATTCCATGCTTCATTATACACTGATTCATAGTTGGGCTAGACAAATAATTCCTTTGTGGAAAAATGAATCTATCGAATAACATACAAACCACAAGTTGAATTTCTAAGCAATCTAATAAGAATACAAATAAATAATCCACTTTGGTAGACAATCTCATTGTTTCTTAAAAGATTAAATCCAAGTCCAGGTTGTTGTCCTAAGAGACAAAATTCATCATAAGCAAAATTGATGAATTACATAATTGTTGATTCAAACAAAATAATCAACATGTTTCTTGTATTTAATAGAATAAAACCATACAAAATCTCTAATTTTATAATTTTCTTCAATTAAATGATAAGAACTTGTTACTTCAAATTATTCCAGGAGAAAAAAAAATATTTCATCCCAGAATCATCAATAAACCAAGAAAAATTAAAGTTAATTGAATTTGGGAAACAAAAGAAGTATATATGCAAACAATTGAGAAGTCGTAGCGTACCTTATATGATTTATTTTTGAGAAATTGAGAAAAGAAATCCATAGTATAAACATGATCATGATGCGGAAGCAAGAAAAACAGAAAGCCCAGGACAAGGAACGAAAAAACGATGACGGAAGAAGACAGATTTCTACCTTCCATAGCATAAAGTTTTCGAATAGACTAAAAAGCTTAGGATAAAAACCAAAACGTCAGTCTTTAAACCAAAAGCATGCCGTTTTTATGTGGTGGTGCGTTGAAGCTCTGATACCACATGTAAGAATAACTTACATACATAATTATCAACTAACACATAGAATCATTATTAACCAGAGTCAATATAACTTACATACATAATTATTCATGTAAGAATAACTTACATACATAATTATCAACTAACACATAGAATCACAATTAACCAGAGTCAATACTATCACACAAAAATAGACACACATCTGAGGATGAAGAAGACATGATGCTTGAAATAAAGATAGTCTTCTACTGTCATAAAACTGGATGCTTTTGCTTTCAATAGGACTCAGCACTCTATCAAGCTTGTATTTGGAGAGCAGGGACAAACCTTTTTATAGTCACATAAGACCTATTGATATTCACCTATTAGGAAAACAATAGGTCTCTCAATAATTCATCATTAACTGCAATAAGTCCACTACATTATTGTTTTGAATGATTCATATAACCTACTGTTACAAAACTCTATTAACTTAATCAATACAGTTCTATCAAAATAATGATTATGTCTACTCAAATTCTTACACCACTTTGGCAAGGATTAGTTGCTCGTAACAGATCAAGTAACCTCATAATTAGAAGGATTTCAGTGCAATTTGTAATAGAGAAACTAGGAGCTTGTTGTTGACTGGGAAACTTGAGGAACCCCTCAGGTGCTTCAGTTAATTTGCAGATTTTGTAGTCTGAAATGTGTTTGATGTCTTATGGTAATGAAATGCTCAGTGTTTCCTTGTCTGTTTTATCATGATTGACATGGTCTCAAGCATTTTGTTATTAGCTGGCGGACTTAATTATTCAAATGATGTTCGGAAGATTAAGTTTCGTGTTTCATCCAAATATTCCTTTTGAATTTTGTACCTGGTACAGCAGCTAGATAGGATTGGCATGTTCTCAAATTCACTGACTAGATGTATACTGATAGGTTTGTCTGGTTTTTGCGGAAGGGCCCTTTGGAAACTGAACAGAAAAAGTATTGCTGTTTCAGGACTGCACAACCAGTTTCCATTAGTTAAAGAAACAAACTGAAACAAGTCAATTCTTCCTTTCTATAAAAATTTGAAATTCAAGTCCCTGGTATTAACATTAAAGGTGTTTTCAGAAAATGAACCTCAAGATTAGCAATGACATCAGGCAAGATAAATCACATTGGTGATCAGAAACTTGTGGTTCATTCTTGTACAAGGAAGAAACATAGAGGCCAACTGAACGGCGCGAGGATAGTACTCGTACTTTAAGTCCGGCTCCTCCAATTCTTCCCAAGCTTATGATGGGGACTGGTTTTACAGTGAACTGAAATGAAATTCAGAAATGAAAAACTCTTTGTTAGTGTCAGATGTCTCTGTTAGATTTCTGTATTATAATATTTTAGATTTTGTAAGGAAGAAGAATTTGGAATTGGATTTGTTATTGGCACATTACAAGCTCACTATCAAATACTTAATCAATCTTCTTAGGGAATTGTTATTGGAACTCTAAAAATCTCATTTTACACTCTAAATTTTCTAAAAGAAAAATACACTTGTGAGTAGTGTAAAATGAGATTTTTTTAGTGCTAATAACAGTTCCCTCTTCTTAATGCAATCAGCAAAAGTGTTTATACATCAACATTCTTATCCACTTTCCTTTCAATAAATATGGCCATCTTAATATATATAGCTTGTGGGATTTGAGTCCATTGACTAAAATATTTTTAAAGACAATTAAGCTGATGGGATAAACCGACAGTGACTTACCTACATTTATTATAAGATGGTGACTAACAATGCCTTTTGCAGATTTGTTTTGTGTCTTTAAAGCCAGCACTTCTAGGTCCACTTAGAGTTGCCTCGTCACGATATTCACATGTTCGTTCCAGGATTTTGTGGTTGGTTGAGTTCTTCCAAATCTTGCTTGTACAGCAAACGAGCCCCACACTTCTTCACATATTGCAAGTATGCTTCTTCCATTCTATGACCATAAGAGTAAGTGCCGAAGAAAAAGTTTTCACCACGACAATCTCGACGAAGCAAATAGAATACCCAAAAGTGTTCTGACTCGAGAGACCTTATTTCTTTGGTCAAAATCTTAGTATCAGCTAAACACTTAATTTCGAAATAATTATAATGACGCTTAAGATCTTGAAAAACAACACAAAAGGTAATCCCCAGCCAGTTGGTACATGATGGTGGAGGAAGCTCCACATCTATTGAATGTCCCGCACTCTGATTACTGAACCACTCTGGAATTTCACTTCCAGGGCATACCATACCTCTCAAAAAATTTGAGATTCCCTGTGGCTGAAGAAAGATCAATTATTTAGAGAGAGAGAGAGAAGAGAGGGAGAGAGGGAGAGGGAGAGAGAGAGTACCTCTTGATCAGTGGCAAATTTTAGAATCCTTGAGAGTATCCAGCCTTCATCTTGAACCAATGCAATGCAATTCAGGCAAGTGAAATTAAAATCATACAAATTGGCAAATCTGCTGTTCAACTTGGATGGATCTGACAAACTTCGCAAGGAAGTACAATTGTCTACATCTACATGTAATTTGCTATTAGATGGAAGAGGTGGCAATTTTTGAAGGCTTTTGCACCTTTCCAGATCAAGATACGAAAGCTTAGAAAGGCATCTAATGCTTTCAGGTAGACTGACGAAATTATTTCCACTAAGATCCAATCTTTCCAGAAAGGACAAGCAGCCAATATCATCGGGGATATCTCCTTCACGGAGTTTACAATCTTTTAGAGATAACTCTGTTAACTCTGTCAAAGAGCATAAACTATTTAGAGAAGACAACACCAAATCCAAACAAGGAGGATCAGGACGACTCTTTCCAAGTCCTAGTAAGCGGAGAAGGCCCCACCCCTCCCTTGCTTTAGCATCCGATCCGTTACATAAGTTATCCATGTCTCTTGGGAGTTTGTCAATTTTTGAGCATCCTTGCATTCGGAGTCTTCTAAGAGACTTCAAATTACAAATAGTCGTCGGAAGGTTCAAGAGATATGAGCAACCAACTAGACACAACTCCTGGAGGCCAACCAAATGTCCAATTGATGAAGCTATTTTCTCTATCAGAGTCGCACTTAAGTCAATCGAGGACACATTCTTCATCTGCTCCCCAAATTCTGGAATCTTTTTCACATCTGAGTTGCTAAGACTTAAAGATTCCAGAGAATCCATTTTAAGCTCACTTGGGAGGCTCTCAAGTTTTAAGTAGCATTCAAAATTCAAGTTCAAGTTTTTTAAGATGTGCAATAGACGGGTGTATCTCAACTAAATTGAAACAACCTCGAAGATTCAACTTCACAAGATTTGGAACACCACTGAAATCCGGGTACTCTTCAATTTACCTGAGTTTCTAAGATCGATCCATCTCAAGTTGGGCAAGTCCTGTACAACATCGATAAGATTCAGATCATATAAATAAATAAATAAATGATTATTTTGTATATTAAATAGCATTTATTCAAGGATGAATAATAATTATGTACTCACTAGTGAGTACTCTATATGCTCATTTTTGTTTTGGTTCTTGTTCTTTATTTTTAAAGCCCAAGAAAAATTAAATAGCATGTCCATTATTTTTGAAAATAATAAAATATACTTGTCCAAAAAGTGAGTACTGATTAGTCACTACCCAAGTGGTATCATTTTATTCAACACTACTCTCATCACTTTTTTTTTTTTTTAATGGTAAAAATACTACTCTTACCACTTTTCCCTCCCATAACCGAACAAGACTGCTTCCATACATGTGAAGTTCAGTAAGGTGGCGCATGGGAAAGTTGGTTGGAAGAAAATTAGAAGGATATTGAAACCAGTATATATATCTCAATGAACACGGAAGAAATTTAGGGCCTGAAGAAAAGAAAACTTGATCGATTGTCAAAATCCTCAATCTATCCATCTTAGAGAAGGCTTCCCAATTCCACTCGCGTTTCACATATGTTATAGGCATGTGTAATGATATGACTTCAATTGCACTCAAACCCTGACAATTAAGAAAAAAAGACAAATTAATTTCACATTCAAGTATATTAGTGTCAAAAGTTCATTCAAACTTGGTATTTTACTTCTTACCATATTGGTCGCCATATTGGTCGTGAATACATGAGAAATGTCATCGTTAAGCCACAACCTACTGCGTAGACCAGACTCTTTAGACCTGTGACCAATAATTGTCCATGCCATTTCTTCTATCAAATCATGCATCCGTATGCATTTTTGGTGATCTTGATAGAGGAGAAATCTCTCAATTAGTACATCTATCACAATATGGCTAGAGATTCCAAAAGAATTAGAACTATCTAGACTTTCAATTACTTGCTTCCTGTAATACCCTTTGTAGAAACATGCAACATCGAGAAAATGCTCTTCTCCCACTCTTCTAGTGCATCATAACTTACTTTAAGTTTATCAAAAATAGCTGGATTAGGAATTTTTGATAGATTATCCCGTACACTATGCCAAGCATCTAGCCCTCTCTTAAACAAAGCCGACCCCAAAGTTTCAAGAGCTAATGGAAGGCCTCCAGCATGATTGTCATAACATTCATCATAATTATCAATCACATTATTAAAAAGATAGTTAAACACACACACACACACACACACACATATATATATATATATATCACAATCTTCATCAGTGCACGAGCCAAATCCTATTTAATAAGCATATGATGGCTATATATATATAAATCACATTTCAATAAAAATCATATTTATAAGACTAATTCATATTCACAATTGATACCAAATAAGAAATTCAGATAATAAACATATCTCATATATTCAAGTCACTATCTAACTAACATAGGTCCACTGGTCACGCACCGTCGCATGAGCCGCTGCGGGTGGCGGTTGACTGCCCCGACTCACCGGAAAAATTCAACTATCTTTAAAAATTACCAAAAATTACATAAATGAAGATCTCAAGGAGTAGAGCAAACTTTATACCTGTGGCCAAGTCTAATTTGGCCGGGAAGGCCCTCAAATTGGCTCGCACCCGTCGAAACCCTAAAGTGGGTGTTCTTCAATTTGGCTCCCTTGGTGTTCCAACGCCCCAACCACCAATTGGGTCTTGTTCTTGGGTCCAAGGGAAGTTGATTAAGGGTGATGGTGAATGGTGATACTCACCAGAATGACGAATCGCCGTCAAGAACCCCCGGTTTTTCGGTGGAGTTCTACTCGAATTAGACCTTAAAAACCCTTGATTTTTGGTGGAGATGGAAGGAGGAAGGTAGCTGAGTAGGTTGCAGGTGATGAATGGGTGCAAAACGCCTAAAAAATGAAGGATTTTGGCCTGACATTGGCTGGATCGAAACCATTTTTTTCATGGGTGCTTGGGTTTACAAATTTGGGGGGGGGGGGGGGGGAGGGGCATCCTTTCGCTCATTTTCTTTTCTTCTCTTGCCACTCCCGTGGCTTTCTTTTTTTTTTTTTTTTTTTTTTTAAAGCAACACAACTTCATACGTCCGTAACTATACTGTTATAATCCGGACTCGCAAACGGTTTTCGCCTATGCGTTCATGACTTCAAGACCTATTCGAAAACGTTACTTGTGACCTCGAAAAGTCAACGAGTAAATAATAATTTTCCAAACTTCGCTCTTCATAACTAGTTTAATTGAAATCTAATTTCAAATAAATTAATATAAATTCTCGAAAAAATAATATAAATCTCAATAATACAAATACGTAGATTATAACAGTAAAATCCAAGAATGGGATTTCACGTCTTTACCGTTAGAGACACCGTTATATCTTGGAGATCTACCAAGCAAACGCTAGTTGTGACTTTGTCGAACTATGCTGAGATTTTCGCCCTGCATGAAGCATCGCGTGAGTGCTTTTGGTTGAGAGAAGTCATGGGACATATTTGAAGCATTAGTGGTCTTACATCAGTCGTTGACCCTCCTACGACGATCTTTGAAGACAATGCAACATGTATCGAGCAGTTAAAGAAGGGATACATCAAGGGAGACAACACCAAGCACATAACGTCGAAGTTCTTTTACTCACACCAACAGCAGCAGCAGCATCAAAACATTGAAGTCAAGCAAATCCGTTCCCAGGAGGATAACTTGGTCAATCTCTTCACCAAGTCATTGCCCAAGTTTACTTTTCAAAAGCTTGTCCAAGGAATCATTATGCGTAAATTATCTGAGTTAAATCGCATGTAGTTCTCTTATTTAGAAGTTATGGCTAGCTCAGGGGGAGTATCTAGAAGCATACTTACATGATCTTAATGTACTCTTTTTCCTACGATTAGGAGCATTTTTTTCCACTGGGTCTTTGCTACCTAACGAGGTTTTAACGAGGCACCCATCCTGGGATGATCATACTCCGTTGAGTTCACTACTTTCGTCCTGTTTGACATTTGTTTTAGATATTATGCATACTTCTCACCTTTCTCCTTAATCTATGGGTTTTCCTCGTGCCTTGGGTATTACCATAGTTAGGTTTTGTGAGTTTTACTACAAATGCATACTTCCTTAAACTTGAGACTCGCGATCACCCGTTGTGCCAATGACTTCATCAACAATTCTACCTTATCGCTGAATATCTAATGCGATGTTTGTTGAGTATTTACACACTCAAGGGGGAGTGTTGCAGTCATATTTAGAATAAGAATGTGATTGTGTAAATCCTTATAGTTATGGGAATGTATCTTATATTCCTATTAATTATGAGTTTATTATCTATTAAATGTTGTAATCATAAAAGGAAAGGTTTACCTATTCTACTACTATAAATAAAGGCACAATGAGGTAAATTAAACACACCTCACAATTAAATCACTCTCTCTTCTCCCTCACTACCTCCGGCCCATCTCTCTTTCTAAACCCTAAGATCGTTCAATCAAATAGGCCTACAACAAAAACTAGTTTCTTGAGCTTTCAAAATTTGTATTTTGAGCTTTAATTTTAGTTTCTAATCAACACCATGACACAAGCCATAAAGTAACAAAACCAATAAAATGTCAACTGAAAACGTTATATGTGAAAAAGAACAATGAATTACATGAAATGAAAACGTCAAAGTAGGCATGTAGTCAACCTATGTTGTCACGCCACAAATTAAAGTACAATGCGAGCTGGTGACAAATTTGAGCCACACCGCGGTAATTCATGCAATGTAAATCTCTCTCAAAGAAGCAACAAGAAAATCCTCATGCAAGAGTTCTCCACTTTCTTACTCGTTCAAGAGGAAAGCTGAAAGGACAAGTATTTTCCAAAAAAAAAAAAAAAAAAGGTGGAAGACAGACTATGGAAATTTTCCAGGAAGCAAGAGTTTAGAGTAAGTTCTCAACTTTCTTCTGAGAAAAGATATTCATGTCTCTTTTTCTTTTCTCTTCAGTGATGCTAAAGCCAACTAGTTATCTTATTTCTACAGCCACTTTCCAATACTTGTTCCAAAGATTTTCCACAAAAAAAAGTAGAAGACTGACTACAAGGAAAATATTTATGTCACCCACCATGAAATTTGTATATAGGTTTTTTTCACACATCTGTTCATTAGGTCCACTAACAATGTTGAAGTCATTGTGGAATATGCTGAGATTTCCCCTGTCATTTAGACAAACCTTCTCATGGTTACACCCTACCCCCAGCAATTGGCAATATCAAATCTGATAAAACTAGTCAAACAAATGACAAGCCTTCAATGCAAGCTGCAATGTAAGAGTTGAGTTGAAATGATCCATACATCAAATAAAATGATCATTCATAAGAATCATGAAACCTAGGCTAAGTTCCATGGGCTCTTAAGGTCCCTCATCAAAACATAGAATAACCACTGCATTTGGATGATGGTATTTAAAGTTCCATGAAAACAAGGCTACACCTTCAGAAACGCACTACAAAAAAATAGATAGAGGGGCTTCAAAATGACTAGATGCAAACATTTGAGAGAAATTTCAAATGATACCTTGAAAGTCCTTTGTTGCGTGTCATTCTACTGCACTACTTGTGTTTTAGTAGTAACTTTGTAGTGCTTTAGTATAGTTTATCAGTAGTGTTCTTGTAGTGCATCTTTAACAATTAAGTCTAAAGTTTGTCCCTCATTCAAAGACATAACAAAACACCACAACTCTAAGTTATATACAAAAAACACTTCAAGAGCTCAATGAAGAAAAAAAAACTTGTCTATCCACTTGTCATGCTCTAATTGATTCTTAGTTGGAAAATCCTTCTCCATCATCAAGTAAGTTGGTTTTTTTTTTCTTTTCTTTTTTAACTATTGGGTTTGAAGTGGTTTTCTCTAAAGATCAAGTATCGTCATCTTCCAGGAGAATCTACTCACTAAATTCGTTATCTCTTATAAGAAGTAATGCTAGGAAGACAAAATTTATAGACTATAATTGCAAACTAAATGATGTGTCACTAATAAGAAATGAGCATGTTTATCAACGTTTAAGTAATAATTCAATCATCAACTTCCATGTCATTTAGTTTACAAAACTTAGTCTACAAATTTAGTCTTTCTAACATTACTCATCTTTAAGTTAGGAAATGAACGAATTAGTTTTAAAATGAAAGCGAAATATGGTACAACAGAGTTTACATAGTTTCTACTTCTTTATACGTACACCAGTTTCTACTTCTTTACACAGTCAAAATCAATAAAATTAACATAACGAACCGTCGATGAATGCCCCGTCACTAAAACGCAGCATAACATATGTCATATCTACTGCTTTCCTAGTAAAACCGACATCTTTATGGCCACAAACTTACATGAATCAACTTCATGAAATCTAATTTCTGATGATCAATAGAATTCAATTGTTATGTATGTGATATCGGCAGGGTTGGATCAACCGGAGCTTGAATTTTTCGTTAAGATCGAACATAACTGATTTTTCTGATTTGCAGTGCCCTTTTATTAATGGCAGAACTGATTCTATTGTCTAAACCCCTTTGTCTAAAGTATTGTAATGAGCAGCCACGGGTACGACACTATCTTCAAGTGGTGATAATCTTTACCACCTTATTTAGCCATTTTGGAGAAAAAGTATTTGAAAATTAAAAAAAAAAAACAAATAAAGGATGAGGTGAAATTGGCCAGCTCAATAATTTTCTTCCCTTTTTTTGAAGCGCATTCCGGAAACTTACTAAAAATTTGGGTAAATTTATAGACAAGAAACAGTAATGCAACTTGGCACAAATAGCAGGATTTCAAAAACCAAAAGCTGAATTACTCACTACAATCCAATGTCTTCAGGATTTTAGCAATTAATTATGTCACTAAATTAATTGAGCTATTTCCACGGAGGCTCTACGAATTATAAATTAATCGGACATTGTACAATTACAAAAGGAGCCACCATGCGCCTCAGATAGTGTTATTTGAGATAGAATCTATTATACTTTGATTGGTGAAGACAATGAAATAACGGAATATGTGAATTGAAAATGAATTGAACATATGACTCATTATCTCTTAGTTCAAGAAGAGACCTGAAAACCTTAGTGACCCATGTACCACCTTACAACCGTAGAAAAGAAAAACAATCGTACGGGACAAAGACAATACACAATTCTAGATATTTCAGTAATCAAAACATAAGTTTCTGTGCAAGAGGTAACCTTTTATAGTCCTTTTGAATCATGTGCCCTGCTTCAGTTCCCTTACCAAACTGGATAAAAGTCTTATCCAAGGCAATCCCTCCTAATCCTGTGTTACAAACGGGTCCAAAATACTCCATCCAAGTTCTGCCCATCACCCAAACAAGCAGGCCCAGTTCTTGTGCGACATAGCTAACTTTTTACTTGGGACCTAAAATTGGGTTTCAGTCGATCAGTCAAATGGGGCAATTTTCCCTATCAAGTCGCTCCGTCTCCCAGTCCCTCTCTCTCATTTATTCGACTGGTTGAAGCTTTCAAGTATCAAGATTGGCAGAAGCATCCGCAGAAATCCAGATGGGAAGAAAATCCTGGTACTACTCTATCACTGCTTCTCTACAATTTTCCCGGAAAGTTTCTGCATTTGGGTTTACAGCAATGCATTCATCTCGTCCATTTCTCTTCTGTGTCCTTTTCTTTTTCGTCTCCAACCTCAGTTTCCCTTCGCTTTCTGTCCCGTTCTTGCCTGCGACGAACAATAACCTCACCCTCTTAGGCGACGCTTCCATCACCAACAACGCCATTAGTCTCACTAAAGAACTCACCACATGCCCCTCCTCTTTCCCTTCTGCTTCTTCTGGCGTTGGAAGAGCATTTTACGCCTACCCAATTCGGTTTCTTGACTTGAAAACCAACGCCACTGCCTCTTTCTTGTGCCGATTCTCTTTCTCAATCACTCCAAGTTCCCAATTGTGTTCTTCTGGAGATGGCATTGCGTTTGTGATCACCCCCGATGTTGATTCTCTGGGATCATCCAGAGGTGGAGTATATGGGACTTCTGGAGCCATCCTCAGTGTCAAAAGAATAGTTCTTCGCCATGGAATTCGATCCTAGGTTTGATCCTATGGTTGGTGACACCAATGGTAACCACATTGGTATTTATGTGAACACGGTTGTGTCTGTTGACTGTGTTGATGTTGTGTCAAGAGGATTTGATTTGACAAGTGGGAGGGAGATTACTCCTTGGATTGAGTACAGATGCTGTCAAGCTGATTCGGGTTTGGGTTGGATACTCTTGAACTAGGCCTCCAACGTCTCTGCTTAATGCTCCGATTGACCTCTTCAACCAGTTCATGGGTGTCGGTTTCTCTGCCTCGAATGGGCAGGGCTCTTCAATTCATATTGTTGATAGGTGGAGATTCAAGACTTTCAGGTCTCTTCCACCTGGGATTCTTACAGATACCTTTGAGGAAGGGGACTGCTTCATGTGCTCGTCACCAGAAGATTCAAGTACCAAAAGCAGCCCTGAAAATCGCTGCCATGAAAGGAAAACAAAGACAGTGGAGATGGCTCTTGGGTTGGGAGGTTTAGCTACATATGTTGTCTCCATACTCACGTTTGTTTTTGTCATTTGTTTTGTGTGTGTGAAGAAGAGAAGGGTCGCATCAGCTAAGGTTTGTAAAGGGTCTTTGCCCTCTGAGGGAGAAGTGGCAGTGAAAAGGTTTGAGAGGGCTGATGGGATCGGTAGTCTGCGTAATCCTTTCACCACGGAGTTTGCAACTATGGTGGGTTGTTTGCGGCAGAAGAATTTGATTCAGCTTCATGGGTGGTGTTGTGAGGGTAATGCGTTAGTCCTGGTGTACGAATACATTGCCCAACGGAAGTCTCAACAAAGTTCTCCACAAAAGCTTCAATTCAGCAGTTGTCCTATCCTGGAAGCAAAGACTTGATATAGTTCTCGCAGTCGCTTCTGCTCTTGCATATCTTCACGAGGAGTGTGAGAGGCAAATAATTCAGAGATGTTAAAACTTGCAACATAATGCTCAATGCAGATTTTAACTCCAAACTAGGGGATTTTGGTCTAGCAGAAGTGTATTGATCACAGTTCCATCATTGCAAGAGAAGCAACTATACCAGCTGGAACAATGGGATATCTTGCTCCAGAAGACGTTTATTCAGGTGTTCCAACAGTTAAAACTGATGTTTACAACTTTGGTGTGGTGGTGTTAGAGGTGGCAACGGGAAGAAAGCCGGTGGAGGATGATGGAACAGTGGTTGCTGATTGGGTTTGGAGCATGTGGGAAAATGGAAAACTGATTGAAGTTGCTGATCTGAGGTATATGGGGAAGTTTGATATGGAAGAAATGGAGAGGATGCTAATGACTGTACTTGCTTTTGTGCACCCAAACCATGTGAAGAGGGCAACGGTGAAGGAAGCTGCAAGGATTCTTAAAGGCAAAACCCCTCTTCCTCTGCTGCCACCAAGAAAACCAAGGGTAAGCCTTCGCCCCGTTTTTCCTGATGACTGAAGAAATCACATTTTGCTGTGGTGTTTGGCCAAGTCTCGAACTTGATGATGTACAATATACTGATTTACGGGTTTGTCTGGTTTTTGCGGAAGGACCCTTTGGAAACTGAACAGAAAAGGTAATGCTGTTTCTGGACCGCACCACCAGTTTCCATTAGTTACAAAAACAAACTGAAACAAGTCAATTCTTCCTTTCTATAAAAATTTGAAATATAAGTCCCTGATGTTAACATTAAAGGTGTTTTCAGAAAATGAACCTCAAGATTAGCAATGACATCAAGCAAGATAAATCACAAGGAAGAAACATAGAGGCCAACTCCACGGCGCTAGGATAGTACTCCTCGTACTTCAAGTCCAGCTCCTCCAATTCCTCCCAAGCTTATGATGGGGACTGGTTTTACAGTGAACTGAAATGAAATTAAAAAATGAAAAACTCTTTGTTAGTGTTAGATTTCTGGATTATAATATTTTAGATTTTGTAAGGAAGAAGAATTTGGAATTGGATTTTTGGGTTTTGGATTTTGGATTTTCTGGCAAGAGCAGAATTGCAGAGAGAATTTCAGATGAAATGACACTTTTTTCATTCACACAATGAGGGTGGCCTGTCACCAGTCAACAAGATATAATCCTAACTATCCAAATAAGTCATCCTATGAGATGCTTACACATGGTATGAGCCATGGCTTCTTCAAATAAGACAACTATAAAACTAATGGTACACATGGACAATGATCCGATGGTCCACATTACAAGCTCAATATCAAATTCTATATCAATCTTCTTAAGGAATTATTGTTGACACTCTAAAAATCTCATTTTACATTCTAAACTTTCTATAATTAAAAAAAATACACTTGTGAAGAGTATAAAATGAGATATTTGAAATGCTAATAACAGTTCTCTCTTCTTAATGCAATCAGCAAAAGTGTTTATTCATCAACATTCTTATCCACTCGCCTTTCAATAAATATGGTCATCTTGATATATATAGCTTGTGAGATTTGAGTCAATTGACTAAAATATTTTTAAAAACAATTAAGTTGATGAGATAAACCGACGGTGACTTACCTACATTTATTATAAGATGGTGACAAACAATGCCTTTTGCGGATTTGTTTTGTGTCGTTGAAGCTCACACTTCCAAATCCACTTGGAGCTGCCTTGTCACAATATTCACGTGTTCGTTTCAGGATTTTGTGTTTGGTTGAGTTCTTCCAAATCTTGCTTGTATAGCAAACGAGCCCCACACTTCTTCACACGAATCCAGTATACTTTTTCTCCTTCCCTACTAACACCATCAAAGTAGGTTTCGAATAAAAACTCATCTTGACAACAATCTCGACGAAGCAAATAGAATACCCAAAGGTGTTCTGACTCTAGAGACCTTATTTTTTTGGTCCAAATCCTAGGGCCATCCATATAAGAAAAACACCGAATTTCGAAATAATCATAGAGATGAAGACCAGCTAGAATGACCCAGTTTGGCGTAAGATCTTGAAAAAGAACACAAAAGGCAATCCCCAGCCAGTTGGTACATGATGGTGGAGGAAGCTCCACATTTACTGAATGTCCCACACTCTGAATACTGAACCACTTTGGAATTTCACTTCCAGGGCATAACATACCTCTCATAAAATTTGAGATTCCCTGTAGTAGAAGAAATATCAATTATTTAGAGAGAGAGAGAGAGAGAGAGAGAGGGAGAGATAGAAGATCAATTATTTAGAGAGGAGGGGGGGGAGAGTACCTCTTGATCAGTGGCAAATTTTAGAATCCTTGAGAGTATTGTATTAATCCAGCCTTCATTTGGAACCAATGCAATGCAATTCAGGCAAGTGAAATTAAAATCATACAAATTGGCGAATCTGCTATTCAACTTGGATGGATCTGACAAACTTCGCAAGGAAGTACAATTGTCTACATCTACATGTAATTTGCTATTAGATGGAAGAGGTGGCAATTTTTGAAGGCTTTTGCACCTCTCCAGATCAAGATACGAAAGCTTAGAAAGGCGTCTAATGCTTTCAGGTAGACTGACGAAATTATTTCCACTAAGATCCAATCTTTCGAGAAAGGACAAGCAGCCAATATCATCGGGGATATCTCCTTCACGGAGTTTACAATCTTTTAGAGATAACTCTGTTAACTCTGTCAAAGAGCATAAACTATTTAGAGAAGACAACACCAAATCCAAACAAGGAGGATCAGGACGACTCTTTCCAAGTCCTAGTAAGCGGAGAAGGCCCCACCCCTCCCTTGCTTTAGCATCCGATCCGTTACATAAGTTATCCATGTCTCTTGGGAGTTTGTCAATTTTTGAGCATCCTTGCATTCGGAGTCTTCTAAGAGACTTCAAATTACAAATAGTCGTTGGAAGCTTCAAGAGATATGAGCAACCAACTAGACACAACTCCTGAAGGCCAACCAAATGTCCAATTGATGAAGCTATTTTCTCTATCGGAGTCGCACTTAAGTCAATCGAGGACACATTCTTCATCTGCTCCCCAAATTCTGGAATCTTTTTCACATCTGAGTTGCTAAGACTTAAAGGTTCCAGAGAATCCATTTTAAGCACACTTGGGAGGCTCTCAAGTTTTGAGCAGCATTCAAAATTCAAAATTCAAAAGTTCAAGTTTTTTAAGATGTGCAATAGACGGGTGTATCTCAACTAAATTGAAACAACCTCGAAGATTCAACTTCACAAGATTTGGAACACCACTGAAATCCGGGGTACTCTTCAATTTACCTGAGTTGCTAAGATCGATCCATCTTAAGTTGGGCAAGTCCTGTACAACATCGATAAGATTCAGATCATATAAATAAATAAATAAATGATAATTTTGTATATTAAATAGCATTTATTCAAGGATGAATAATAATTAAGTACTCACTAGTGAGTACTCTATATGCTCATTTTTGTTTTGGTTCGTGTTCTTTATTTTTAAAGCCAAAGAAAAATTAAATAGCATGTCCATTATTTTTGAAAATAATAAAATATACTTGTCCAAAAAGTGAGTACTGATTAGTCACTACCCAAGTGGTATCCTTTTATTCAAAACTACTCTCATCACTTAATTTTTTTTAATGGTAAAAATACTACTCTTACCACTTTTCCCTCCCATAACCGAACAAGACTGCTTCCATACATGTGAAGTTCAGTAAGGTGGCGCATGTGAAAGTTGGTTGGAAGAAAATTAGAAGGATATTGAAACCACCATATATATCTCAATGAACACGGAAGAAATTTAGGGCCTGAAGAAAAGATCGAATTCAAATTATCGACTCTCAAAATCCTCAGTCTATCCATCTTAGAGAAGGCTTCCCAATTCCACTCGACCACTTCTGATCTAGGCAAGGTTAATGATATGACTTCAATTGCACTCAAATCCTGACAATTAAGGAAAAAGGACAAATTAATTTCACATTCAAGTATAATAGTGTCAAAAGTTCTTTCAAACTTGGTATTTAACTTCTTACCGTATTGGTCCTGAATACATGAGAAATGTCATCATAGAGCCACAACCTACTGCGTAGACCAGGCTCTTTAGACTTGTGGCCAATAATTGTCAATGCCATTTCTTCTATCAAATCATGCATCCGTATGCATTTTTGGTGATCTTGATAGAGGAAAGATCTCTCAATTAGTACATCTATCACAATATGGCTAGAGATTCCAAAAGAATTAGAACTATCTAGAATTTCAATTACTTGCTTCCTGTAATACCCTTTGTAGAAACATGCAACATCGAGAAAAATGCTCTTCTCCCACTCTTCTAGTCCATCATAACTTATTTTAAGTTTATCAAAAATAGCTGGATTAGGAATTTGTGATAGATTATCCCGTACACTATGCCAAGCATCTAGCCCTCTCTTAAACAAAGCCGACCCCAAAGTTTCAAGAGCTAATGGAAGGCCTCCAGCATGATTAATGAAATACTTAGATAGTTCCCAAAAAACTTCCTCGGGTTGGTCTTTTTTAAAGGCATGCAGGCTAAAGAGCTTAAGTGCTTCAGCATCATTCAACCCCTCCACCTTATATGATGTTGCAATATCATGTTGGACTAGCAGACGCTGATTCCTAGTTGTAACGATAATTCTACTCCCCATACCAAACCAACCTTGATTTCCAGCCAACACTTGGAGTTGCTTTAATTCATCCACGTCATCAAGTACAAGAAGAACCTTTTTATTGTGTAAGAACTTCTCAGTGAGAACACTTGCGCGCTCTTCATCCCAAATTTCTTCGGTCCTTTCCTTCAAGAGCGGGGAAATAAGTCTTTTTGCAAGATCAACTATACCATTTTTTGCACAAGCCTCTCTAACATTGGCAAGAAAAAAATGAACTTCAAAATGATGGCAGATTTTATCATAAACTAGCTTAGCAAGGGTTGTCTTGCCTATGCCACCCATCCCCGTTATCCCAATAAAGCGAACATCATTGGCATCATGAGCTAATAGCAAACTTAGTTGCTCGAGTGAATAATCAGTTCCAACTAACTTCCATGAGGAATCTGATGGCATGAATGTAGCTTGCACTTTCCGCCAGACACTATTGACGATTTTTTCGATAAGCTCTCTTTCAGATCTACAAGGAAGAAAAGTAAAATAAGCAATCAATGGAAGATAAACAAAACATTCGTACTTTTCATCTCCCTGCTGGGAGTGGAGCTTTTGCATTTGTGGCTCCTCTGTTTTACTCCTTGTTGTTAATGAAGTCCAACTTTACCAAAAAAAAAAAATAATAATAATAATATGGGAAATTAATTGTCCGTGCATGCTTACTTAAAATTCTTCAAATGCCACCCAGAAAATTTGGATATATTTTTCAAATCAGCTCTCCACTGGATCACCTTCTTTTTGTCTTCAGTAGTGATGAACTTTTCTTCATGATCCGCGAAGGCTTTGGCAAAACATCCCCGTTGGTTTCCAACGTCAGATGGATCTATCTCATAAAAGACCGGCAGAACTGAGTTCCTGCCTTCCATGCATTGAAGAATAGTTGTGAGTTCGTCTAAGCACCATTTGGAAGAAGCATAGTTTGGTGAGAGAACAACAATTGCTATATGCGATTCTTTGATCGCACATGGGAGCTCAAGAGGAATATTTGTTCCTTCTTCAAGCTCTCGATCGTCAAAGAAAGTTGTAAATCCATGGCACTTGCACAATTCATGGTATAGATGGGATACAAAACCCTTGCGGGTGTCTACACCCCTGAAACTCAAAAACACATCATACTTCCATCGAGGAGCTGATTCACTTGAATAAAAAGATGCAGGGGCTCTTTGGGTGTTCAAAGTCAATGCCATCGGAAAACACAGTTGCTGTAAATCGGGTACTGCAAACAATAACTGAATGAACAAGCATAACGATAGAAGATCAATGTTTTAAAATTTAAAAAAAAATGAAGTGATATTAAACAATTAGCAATACTCGCTCTAAAAAATCCATACTCTCGAGAACTCTAAAAATTAAGTGATATTACTGTAAATCTCATACTCTCGAGTACTCTAAAAATTCCAAACAATTGGTAATGGTCCCCAAAAAAAAAATGGAGAAGCTATAGTTAGAAACTATTGAACAATTAGCAATACTCACTCACTCTCTCTTTTGTATAAAGTGAAATTAAGAGAGGAACTGGTTTTGATTAATTTCACTTTCAAGTTTTGATCACACTAACCAACGGTTAAACTATCTTTGTTTGATCGCTTTGGTCAAGGAAAAGTACTAAAAAAAGAGCAAAACCATTTAATCAATCTAAACTACAAGTTCATTGCATCATATTGGTTTCATTTGACTGATTTGAATGTTCATCGCATAAGTAAAAAGATAAACTTCAATTAAATGGGAAAAATAATCACTAATTTAGTGAGAAAATGGGTTCGGCAAACAAATGAACAAGTGAAACAAAAATGAGCAGTTAAAAAGAAAATAGAAAGTTTAAATCTTGTTTTCGTAATTGAAATTGTATATTAAGCAAAAGAGATTAAGGACTCAGAGAATTACCAGAAAAACAAAATACAGGATCAACACAAGCTTGCACAGGCAGAGAAAAGTGACAAATGGCAAGGAAAGAAGCAGAAAAATCGCACTGAAAATTCTCACAACAAAGTTGTAGGAATAGAGGAAATTCACAGAGGTAGGAAAGGAAATAAATGGGAGGGAGATGGACAATTGAGTGCTTATACTGGTAGTGGAGGTGGTGAGGACCACACGGTTCAGTGTAGGTCAGATGATGACTTATTTCTTTGATTAGTATGACTGTTTACCTAAAGAGGAGTAAAAGAACCAAAATTTTAAGGTGATTTATGGTAAATTATTTAACGGTTAAAATATTTAGAGTATCTCATACTCTCGAATACTGTTAAAATTCCAAACAATTACTAATGGTCCGAAAATAAAAAAAACAGAGAAGCTAAGAAATGGTTAAACGATCTCTGTTTGATCACTTCAACCGATGCTTACTGTTGGATTTAGTGGCTCATTCCGATTGGGCTGTTTATTTTGGCTCAAGCCAATTGATTGGCTGTTTTAATAGCCCCATGTGAAAGCCATGTGACAACTAAGTTAAAGGCAGAAAGCAGCCAATATTAGAAGGCATTGGATGCTTTTCTTTTGGTTCCCATGACCAAAAAGAAAGAGATAGGCAACCTATGCCTTTCGGTTCCTAAAAACAGAGAGAGGCAGGGTAAAAAAAACAAAAAAGGAGCAGCATTATAAGGCATTGGATGCTTTTCTTTTGGTTCCAATTAGCAAAGAGAAAAAGAAAGGTTTTGGGCAATTATACATTCAAGATATTGATGCTACATTTTATGGTTTTTTGGAGAGAAGTATTTTCATCTTCTCCATTTATTCTTTATTTGAGAGAACCATTAGGTGTATTTGGGATATGGGGTTTGAGAGTTAAAACTCTATTTGTAATTTTCACTAATTATTAGTGAAATTTCCTGACCATTTTTGCACTGAAGGTAGGCTTATGCCAAATCAATATAAATCTTTGTGTTACTTTGAATTGTTTGTTTTGTCATTTTTTTTCGTATTAATTTATTGATTTCATATTTGACGCACAACACTTACTACTAAAAAAATGAGCTAAACCATTTAATCAAATTAAACTACGAGTCCAGTGCATGAAACTGCTCATATTGGTTTCATTTGACTGATTTGAATGTTTCATCACAGAAGGATTAAACTTGGATTAAAAGGAAGAGCAAAAACTAATTTAGTGAGAACATCAGCAAACAAACATTGACATCCAGTATCAAGCCAAAGATAAGTTGGAAGGATCTAGCAAGCAGCTCCATCAGCCAACATTTCTAATCAACACCGTCACACAAGCCATCAAGTAACAAAACAAATTAAACTCTCAAGTCTCAACAGAAAATGTTATATGTGAGAAAGAAAGAATGAATTACATGAAATGAAAACGTTAAGACAACGGTGTAATCAACATATTACGTATTGTCACGCCACAAAGTTAAAATATCTCTCAAACAAGCAACATGGAAATCGCAGGAGCTGTCCACTTTCCAATACTCGTTGAAGAGAAAAAGCTGAAAGGAACACGTTAACACATGGACTCCTAAGGAAGACTGACTGTGATTTCCAATACTCATTCCAAAGTGAAAGGACAAGTTTTTTCCACACAAAAATTTTCATAAGGATTTGACGTAACCGAGGAATGCCGGCTGTCGACTACCTGATCGGTACACAAAATGGTACACCACGTGTCACTATATAAATGGTAGAATATATATGCTAAAAAGTTAATAACTTAAAAAATAAAATTTTCCACTTCTATAAAAACACATGCTGTACCGCTTATGTTATTGTCACAATGACAAATTTCTCGTTCACGAGGTTTACAATCTTCACGAAGCAGATAAATTACTCAAAGGTGCTCTGACACAAGAGACTCTATTTCGGTTTTTAATTTTCAAAGAAAACTTGTTTGACAACTCCTAATTTTTAGTTTTTAAAGAAATGAAAACTAAAAACTGGTTTCTTGAGCTTTCAAAATTTATATTTTCGGTTTTTAATTTTAGTTTCTAATCAACACCATGACACAAGCCATCAAGTAACAAAACCAATAAAAAGTCAACTGAAAACGTTATATGTTAAAAAGAACAATGAATTACATGAAACGAGAATGCCAAAGTAGCCGTGGTCAACCTATTGCGTGTTGTCACGCCACAAAATTAAAATATACAATGTGAGGTGGCAACAAATTTGAGCCCAACCGCTGTAATGTTTCCGTGCAATGTAAATCCCCCTCAAAGAAGCAAAGGAAATCCTCATGCAAGAGCTCTCTAGTTTCCAATACTCGTTCAAGAGGAAAAGCTGAAAGGACAAGTATTTTCCACAAAACAAGTGGAAGACCGACAATGGGAAATTTCCAAGAAACAAAGATTTTTTAGTAAGTTCCCAACTTTCTTCTAATAAAAGATATTCATGTCTCTTTGTTTGTTCAGTGATGCCAAAGCCACCTACTTATCTTATTTCTTCACTTATTTTCAAATACTCGTTCCAAAGTATTTTCCACAAAAAAAAAAAGTGGAAGACTGACAATGAGAAAGTTACCTTGCTGGGACACGTTATCTTTCTTTGCCTTTTCTTTAAGAGGAAACTATTTATGGCACCCACCATGAAACTTCTATATAGGTTTTTTCACACATCTTTTTGTTAGGTCCGCACTTCTCCAAAGCTTTGGGCCACACATCTGTTCTATTAATCAGACCTGGAAAAAGCAGCAACGGTAGCAATTCTGCCTCCTCACGTACTTTAGGACAGGCTAAGCTAGAAAGATGGGTTACAAGTCCACTTGCAATACTGAGTCTTTGTTGAATATGCTGCGACTTTCCCTGTCATTTAGACAACCCATCTCACAGTTGCACCCTGCGCTAAATATATCACCCCCAGCAATTACCAATATCAAATCTGATAAAACCATTCAGCCAACTGAGAAGTCTTCAATGCAAGCTGCAATGTAAGAGTTGAGTTGAAATGGTCCATACATCAAAGAAAATGAGCATTCGTAAGAATCATGTAACCTAGGCTAAGTTCCATGGACTCTTAAGGTCTCTCATCCAAACATAGTATAAACACTGGATTTGGATGATGGTGTTTAGAGTTCCATGAAACCTAGGCTACACCTTTCAGAAACGCACTACAAAAAAACAAATAGATAGAAGGACTTCAAAATGACTAGATGCAAAACATTTGAGAGAACTTTCAAATGACACCTTAAAAGTCCTTTGTTGCGTGTCTTTCAACGGATCGAGGCGTTTTCAGGCCACTTCCCGATCGAATTGGACTTTGGCCTAGGTATGAAAATTACTCCCTTCATTGAGATCTACATGCTTATAAAATTTGGTAATTTTTGGAGTTAGGTAAATTTTCCAGCAAGTCAAGACGACCTGCCGTCGCTTACGACGGCACGTGGTGGCGACGTGTGGCCTGAGGAACCACTTGATCCTTCTAAGCTATATTTGATACCCTAGTTCCATATTTGACATCCGATTAGTGAAATTTTATCATTTGAACCTAGTTTCATTAAGGATGATCACTTGACCATTGTGGCGAACGATGATCCAACCGTTAAATCGTTACCAAACTATAATATGTTATTTTACATAATATTTGAGGACATTAGGAACTGACGGATCGGGAATCCACATACAGATCTTCTCGAATTAAATTTCTAAGTTTGTAAAACCAAACATCGGCCGCCACCTAATTTTAGCAATTGGTGGAGATTCGACCGTTGGATCATTTTGAAATTTTAGGATTTTGTTCTAGATGAATAATGAGACTCTCAGGAAGTTAAGGATCGGAAATCCGATGGACGGATCTTCCTGACTGAATTACTTGGGTTGTCTTTGATCAAAACGTTCATAACCGTTCTTAAGTTCTAAAATTGGTACTACTAAATACTAAGTAGAGTCTAGTGGGCCTATCTTGGTTAGTGAGCTATTCCAGTTAATGCTTACCTCAGTTTACGTGATTGGAACGCCTTATTGTGACATGCATATGTGTATTTAAATTATTGATGATATGAATGATGTGTATGATTATCTTTATGACGATGTGAACCTAGAATCTTATTAGAAGTATTATGTAGAACTTTTATGCTTGTATGACAAGATAGTTATTAGTCAAGAGAAGTTGATAATGCAGGTGCCCACCTCGTAAATCACAGAGATTGAGGTAGGGATGGATTGTGTGTTAAACTAATTGCACTAGATAGCAGTGGTACTTGGAGGTCCTGCTTGGTATATATGCGATAGGGGACCATATGTATTTCAGGGGTGATCATGTTTGGTATATCTGTGATGGATGATCACCGCTTGCACAATTAGACTATGCTTATGGTCTTGCTTGGTTTATCTGAAATGGGTGATCATGATTGGTATATCCGTAATAGGTGATCACTACCTAGAGTTAGGATGTGGTCTTGCTTGGTATATCCGCGATAGGGGGACCACACGTTAGACTATGCCTATGGTTTTGCTTGGTTTATCCGCAATGGGAGACCATACGCATTCTAGGAGTGATCATGCTTGGTATATCCACGATGGGTGATCATTGCCTGCACATTTAAATTATGCCTATGGTTCAACTTGGTATATCTGCAATGGGGGACCATATGCATACTAGGGGTGATGATGATTAGTTGTACTTGGTATGTTTCGATAGGCGGCCTTATTTTAGTTGGATTCTGTTGAGAGGTCTGAAATCCTTACTCTTGCTTATTTCCATAAGGTTAGTCCGGCCTTAGATTAGAGTGAATAGTAATTGCTCACCGTAGGCATCATGTTTATAAATTAGATTTACCATGTTGTTATTTATAATCTAAGTGGGGAATTGTATAGACTTCTTTTATTAAATTTTGTGAGGTGATCATGATCTTATTGATTGATTAATGTAATTAAATGCTAATATCATGCCTCTTTGATTCATGAAATTGATTAATTGGAGTGATTGTGGAATGACGTTGGATATGATTTTTATTAATATGAATAGATTAGTTGATCAATGTGACTGGAGGATAATGTGCTTTTTTTATTCTTTGATATGTTACATGCTATGAATTGCGATTTTATGTGAAAAACATAATGATTTATCTGATGAATGGAATGGAAATCTTGAATATCTTGTGGGCTGTTATGTAGTCTTGAATTTAGAAATTCATGCTTGTCGAGTTCCAATGTTTGATGGAGGAATGCTATGTTTTTTAGTTAGAAGGTACGAAGTTAAGTGTCAAGTGTAGTGAATGGTGAACTACAAATGACTTGATCCTATATAGGGTATGTAGGCAATCTAACGAGGAGGTTAGATGGAGCCATAAAGTATACAAAAAAATTACTACGCAATTCAAATCCTGAGTTGTGCTTTGCTCATATCCCGAAGATGGGGTATGTTAGATGTACGAGTTTTTGGTGTCGTCACGTGTTGATCCTGGACGTATGTCGGGATCGAGGTGTGACGTTGAGTGTGCCATTACTATCTAAAACCAGCATACTAAAAGTTATTCGGGCATGAATAAACCGGTTACTTGCACCCCTAGTTACCTGAACTTCTTCGATTAAGGGATTGTTTATAGAGGGGTTAAGTTCACAAAAAGTTCTTTTCTTTGCCTTGGGATCATAGACTTTTGGTTAATGTAATATGCCCTTTTAACATGAATTAAGAACAAAGGAAAAGATTGATTTGTTGAAGTTATTGAGCCGAAGCAAAGTAAAGCAAATGTAAAGAACGTTAAATGATAACTTTGGAAACTAAAATACTAGTAAGTAAATGATGGAAATAACTTGTAATGAAAGTGCAAGGTATTTAAAGGCAGAAATTAACACAACAATGCATAAATATTAAAGGTTCGGGCACGTTTCAACATCTTCTGGCATTGTTAGTTCCTTGCCGGGCACACCTTCTCCAATTTAAAAGGTAAAAGCTTCAAAACAATAACAATTGAAATCGATACCACAAAAAGAATGCAACAGAGCTAAAACTAAAACGAAAAGATGACTTTGTCTACAAAAGGAATGTAAAGAAAGTGATAGAGCTTTTAGGAGCCTTTTATGGGAGTTGATTTGAATGTCCTTCTTATCTGGTCCTACCGCCGCTTTTATAGAGTTTACTTCTCGATGAATTAAGCTTTTAACTCCTTGATGCATCCCTTTTCTTGCCAAGTGGTTGATGAGACTGCTAGTAGAGGGTGAATTCTCACTTGATCCCCTTGAAATGACAAGTGTTTGCCCCTAAAAGTGCTTTCCCGTCTGAAATATCTTCTCTGTAACACCCCATAGTCTGATTATTCTTATAGGTTTGTCGCCCATAGCTACCATGTCATATTAATATTTAAATCTTGGGGCGAGCTATTGTCCACATCTCCTGAAATTAAAGACCCAATAAGTTCTCTAAGGTTTTACGTGGGTTTGGGTCGCGACGCAAGCCCAATGTCCATTTTGGGTTCAAACAGAACAACTTAGAAGATATAGGGAAAACAATGAGAGGAAAAATCTAAATAACAAAGGTGAAAACAGAGTAAAATCCGGATCTCAAAGAGCTTTGTATTTTTTTTTTAATTTAAAAGAGGAAATTAGAAGCCACTTAGTATTACGATTTAGTGGTATCAGTTATATGTAACTAAGAAGATATAGTGAAAGCAATGAGAGGGAAAATCTAAATGAAAAAGGTGAAAACAAAGTAAAATGCGGAACTCAAAGAGCTTTGTATTTTTTTAAATCAAAAGAGGAAATTAGAAGTCATTTAGTATTACGGCCTAATGGTATCAGTTATAAGTAAGAAGTCTTAGATTCAATTCTCGTCAAAAGCAAATTTGAGTAACATTATTATAGTTAACCCAGTGTAAGGCTTAGCCCACCTCCCTCTAATGTGAATAATATCGTTCGTTTGTTATTAAAAAAAAGAAAAAAAAAGAGGAAATTAGAAAATTTATTTTGTGGGAAAAAAAATTAAAAAAAAAAAAGAAAAAAGGGAAAAAAGAAATTGATCTAAAAACATCTTCAAAGGAGATTTTAAATTTTAAACATAAAATATAAATTTGAAAGCATAAATGACATTTTAATTTAAAAAAAATATTCTCAATCTCATATGTCAAATCAAACTATTATTTATTACGTTAATTAAATATTTTTAAAATAATAATAATAACTATTTTTTAATCAATTAAAAATAAATTTGGGTTAGGGTCAATTAAATAATATTCACGCACACTGTGTGTATGGCATATGGAAGTACTAATTCTAATTTACTGTTAAGAGAGAGCCCGTTGAATTCCTAATTACCGTTAGTGAGAGGGCAGCTTGGGTCAGTTGGTGCTTCTCAAAACTGCTTCCGCAAAGAAGCAATGGGAAGATTTGAATGAAACTTTCAAAAGGCCGAAATTACCCCCCAGAATTTACAAATTATAACACTACCCTAACTCGGCTTTCTTTGGCTTCTTGGAGCAAACGGTCCTAGAATTTGCTCAATAATTTATCATATATGACCGAAACTTAGTCTCGAATTTCACAAATGTCAGTTTTTTTTTATATAAAAAAATATTAATTATAGCAAAAAAAACACACTTGAATAAACTTAAATACCGTAAAAATTAACTCTCAGTTACAATATACCTGAAGTTCTTAGATATTAGAGTCAATTTTTAACCTAACTCACAAGGAAAGTCTCTACACCATGGAAATGTCAAAAACACTAACCAATATCAGTCAGCGCCAAATTTTACTTCGTTCATGGAGGATGAAAAAAAAAATAGGACAGCAATCCCCCAACATGGTATGGGTACGTACTTTTGACCAAATTAGGGTTGTAATCCCCCCCAACTTAGGTAAATCAACATATGTCGGTCAGAGGAGTTTAATGGAACTCTTTGGCTTGCTTTCACCAATGATTTCTTTTCATTGCAGAAATTGTTAATATTTTCTTAATTTCCTTTTCCACCCACTTGAATCAACTTCATGAAATCTAATTTTTGACGATCACTAGAATTCAATTGTTATGTATGTGATATCGGCAGGGTTAGATCAAACAGAGCTTTACTTTTTCGCTAAGATCAAATAGAATTGATTTTTTTCTGATTTGCAATGCCCTTTTATTAATGGCAGAACTGATTCTATTGTTGAAACTCCTTTGGCTAAAGTGTTGTAATGAGCAGCCACAGATACGACACTATCTTCAAGTGATGATGATCTTTACCACCTTATTTAGTCATTCTGGAGAAAATGTATTCGAAAAAAATAAAAAACAAAAAGGATGAGGTGAAATGGCCAGCTTAATAATTTTCTTCCCTTTTTTTTGAAGCGCATCTGGGAAACCTATTGAAAATTTGGGTAAATTTACAAACAAGAAACACTAATGCAACTTGGCACAAATAGCAGTATTTCAAAACAAAAGCGGAATTTCTCACTACAATTGAATGTCTTCAGAGTTTTAGCAATTAATTAGGTCACTAAATTAATTGAGCTATTTTCACTGAGTTTCTATGAATTATAAATTAATCGGATCACTATAAAATTACAAAATGAGCCACCGTGCCCCTCAGATAGTGTTATTTGAGATAGAATCTATTATACTTTGATTCGTGAAGACAACAAAATGACGAAATGACGGAATGTGTGAATTGAAAATGAATTGAACACATAACTCATTATCTCTTAGTTCAAGAAGAGACATGAAAACCTTACAACCGTAGAGAAGAAAAATAATCGTACGGGACAAAGACAATACACAATTATAGATATTTCAGTAATCAATTCAAAACATAAATCTCATTCTACTTACAGTCCTTTTGAATCATGTGCCCTGCTTCAGTTGCCTTACCAAACAGGATAAAAGTCTTATCCAAGGCAATCCCTCCTAATCTGTGTAACAAACGGGTCCAAAATACTCCATCCAAGTTCTACCCACCACACAAACAAGCAGGCCCAGTTCTTGTGCGACATAGCAAACTCTTAACTTGGGACCTAAAATTGGGTTTTCGTCGATCAATCAAATGGAGCGATTTTCCCTCTCATATCGCTCCGTCTCCCAGTCCCTCTCTCTCATTCATTCGACTGGTTGAAGCTTTCAAGTATCAAGATTGGCAGAAGCATCCGCAGAAATCCAGAGGGGAAGACAATCCTGGTACTACTTTATCACTGTTTCTCTGTAATTTTCCCGAGAAAGTTTACGCCTTTCATTTTCCCGAGAAAGTTTCTGCATTTGGGTTTACAGCAATGCATTCATCTCGTCCATTTCTCTTCTGGGTCCTTTTCTTTTTCGTCTCCAACCTCAGTTTCCCTTCGCTTTCTGTCCCGTTCTTGCCTGCGACGAACAATAACCTCACCCTCTTCGGCGACGCTTCCATCACCAACAACGCGATTAGTCTCACTCAAGAACTCACCACCTGCCCCTCCTCTTCCCCTTCTGCTTCTTCTGGGGTTGGAAGAGCATTTTACGCCTACCCAATTCGGTTTCTTGACTCGAAAACCAACGCCACTGCCTCTTTCTTGTGCCGATTCTCTTTCTCAATCACCCCAAGTTCCCCATTGTGTTCTTCTGGAGATGGCATTGCGTTTGTGATCATCCCCGATGTCGATTCTCTGGGATCATCCAGAGGGGGGTATATGGGACTTCCGGAGCCATCCTCAGTGTCGAAAGAATCGTTCTTCGCTGTGGAATTCGATACTAGGTTTGATCCTATGGTTGGTGACATCAATGGGAACCACATTGGTGTTGATTTGAACACAGTTGTGTCTGTTGCCTGTGTTGATGTTGTTTCAAGAGGGATTGATTTGACAAGTGGGAGGGAGATTACTGCTTGGATTGAGTACAGGGATGCTGTCAAGATGATTCGGGTTTGGGTCGGATACTCGTCAACTAGGCCTCCAACGCCTGTTCTTGTTGCTCAGATTGACCTCTCCAACCAGTTCAAGGAGTTCATGCATGTCGGTTTCTCGGCCTCGAATGGGCAGGGCTCTTCAGTTCACGTTGTTGACAGGTGGAGATTCAAGACTTTCGGGTCTCTTCCACCTGGGAATCCTACAGATACCTTTGAAGAAGGGGACTGCTTCATGTGCTCTTCACCAGAAGATTCAAGTACCAAAAGCAGCCCGGAAAATCGTTCCCATGAAAGAAAAACAAAGATTGTGGAGATGGCTCTTGGGTTGGGAGGGTTAGCTGCATTTGTTGTCTCCATAATCGCATTTGTTTTTGTCATTTGTTTTGTGTGTGTGAAGAAGAGAATGGTCACTGCCAGAGGGAGCAGAGAGGGCAAAACTTGTAGAGTTGAGGCGAATAAAGTTCCGACGAGTTTGTCTCTTGCAGAGATAAGATCGGCGACAATGGGGTTTAACCGACACAGGGTTGTCGGGGAAGGGGCATCAGCTAAGGTTTATAAAGGGTCTCTGTCCTCTGGTGGAGAAGTGGCAGTGAAAAGGTTTGAGAGGGTTGATGGGATCGGTAGTCTGCGTAATCCTTTTACTACGGAGTTTGCAACTATGGTGGGTTGTTTGCGGCACAAGAATCTGATCCAGCTTCATGGGTGGTGCTGTGAGGGTAATGAGTTGGTCCTGGTGTACGAGTACATGCCCAACGGAAGCCTCAACAAAGTTCTTCACAAAAGCTTCAATTCAGCAGTTGTTCTGTCCTGGAAGCAAAGACTTAATATAGTTCTTGGAGTCGCTTCTGCTCTTGCATATCTTCACGAGGAGTGTGAGAGGCAAATAATTCACAGAGATGTCAAAACTTGCAACATAATGCTCGATGCAGATTTTAACGCCAAACTAGGGGATTTTGGTCTAGCAGAAGTGTATGAGCATAGTTCAATCATTGCAAGAGAAGCAACTATACCAGCTGGTACAATGGGATATCTTGCTCCGGAATACGTTTATTCAGGTGTTCCAACTGTTAAAACTGATGTTTACAGCTTTGGTGTGGTGGTGTTAGAGGTGGCAACGGGAAGAAAGCCGGTGGAGGATGATGGAACAGTGGTTGTTGATTGGGTTTGGAGCATGTGGGAAAAGGGGAAACTGATTGAAGCTGCTGATCTGAGGTTGATGGGGAACTTTGATATGGTAGAGATGGAGAGGATGCTGATGACTGGACTTGCTTGTGTGCACCCAAACCATGTGAAGAGGCCAACGGTGAAGGAAGCTGCAAGGATTCTTAAAGGCGAAACGCCTCTTCCTCTGCTGCCACCAAGAAAACCAAGGGTAAGCCTTCGCCCTGTTTATCCTGATGAATGTGAAGAAATCCCGCTTTGTGGTGGTGTTCGGCCAAGTCTTGAACTTGATGATGTACAATATTTGACTCCGAAGAGCCACTTTGGCAAGGATTAGTAGCTCATAATAGATCAAGTAACTTCAATTTAAGAGTAGGATTTCAGTGCAGTTTGTAACAGAGAAATTAGGAGTTTTTTGTTGACTGGGGATCTTGGGGAATCCTATTCAGTTGCTTCAGTTAATTTGTAGATTTTGTAGTCCGAAATTGTGTTTGATGTCGTATAGAAATTAAAAGCTCAGAGTGTTTAGCAGAACTTTTCCTTGTCTGTTTAATCATGATTGGCATTGTCTCAAGCATTTTGTTATTATAGCAGATGGACTTATTAATTCAAATGATGTTCGAAAGATTGAGTTAAACTTCATGCTGTAGGCTGCAGCAGATTGATATGGGTTTTTGATTTTCGTATCAAATGTGAAGCCTAAACAGTATTTGAATCCTATATGACGATGATGATACATTGAATGATCAAGAGCAGGATTAATGTCCCCTTACCTGGTAGAGCCGCTAAGATAGGATTGACATGTTCTAACTCACAAACAAAATGCATAATGATTTAAGTTTCCATTCGTTACAAAAGCATTTTTACATTAGCTCATGGACTTGATATTTTAAATGATGTTCGAAGATTGAATTAAGTTCCTTTTGAATTTGTTATTTGTTAACTTGATGTTGTAGCTAAAAAAAAATGAAATGAAATATCATCACGTACAACAGCAGATGACTGCAGATCGAGGCAACATTGTTTTTCCAGAAATTGAGCTTTATTCAAACTACTCATTCTCCAACAAGCACTTCCCATGTCCTCAAATTCACTTACAAGATGTATACTGATTTACAAGTTTGTCTTGTTTTTGCGGAAGGGGCATTTGGAAACTGAACAAAATAAATTATTACTGTTTCTGGACTGCACACCAGTTTCCATTAGTTACAAAGACAGACTGAAACACGTCAATTCTTCCCTTCTACAAAAATTTGAATTGAACTCCCTGGTTTTAACGTTAATGGTGTTTTCAGGAAATGAACCTTGTGGTTCATCCTTGTACCAGGAAGAAACATGGAGGCCAACTCTACGGCCCTTGGAAAGTCTTCATACTACTTCAAGTCCGGCCTTGTCAATTCTTCCCAAGCTTATGATGCAACTGGCCTTACTGTGAACCGAAATGAAATTAAGAAATGAAAAACTATTGCAATGAGAAATTAAGCTTATTTTTCTTTGTTAGTGCTAGACTTTTGTATAATATTTTATATTCTGTAAGGAAGAAGAATTTGGAATTGGAATTTTAGCTTTTGGCTTTTGGATTTTTTGGGAACAGCAGAGAATTACGGAGAGAATTTAAGATGAAATGATATTTCTTCTTTCACATAACGATGGTTCGTAAGAGACTGGTTAGCAAGATATACTCTTAACCATCCAAATAAGTCATCTTATGAGATGCTTACCGATGATATGAGCTATGACACTGAGGGTACACATGGATTATGATCGAATAGTCCATATTACAAGCTCAATATCAAATACTACATCAATCTAGCTAATGCCCAGATAAATTGCAAAAGTGTCTATGCATAAACATTCATTCCCCTCGCTCTTCAATAAATATAGCCATCTTATAGCTCAAAGCAAAATATATTTTTAAATACAATTAAGATGATGCGATAAATCGATGTGACTTACTTGCATTTATTATAAGATGGTGACTAGTAGTAACAATGCCTTTTGCGGATTTGTTCTGTGATGTTGCATCTAGCACTTTCAGGTCCACTTGAAGCTACCTCGTCACGACATTCATGTGTTCGCTTCAGGATTTTCAATGTTTGATTGAGCTCTTTCAAATCTTGCTTGTACACCAAACGAGCCCCACACTTCTTCACACTATTGAAGTCTGCTTTTTGTTTCCCCCCTTCAATATCATAAAGGCAAGTTTCGAATAAAAATTGTTCATGATGACAACATTCACGAGAAAAATAAAATACCCAAATGTGTTCTGACACAAGAGACCCTATTTTACAATCCCATCGCAAAAGGCAATCCCCTAAAAACTGAATATTGAAATAATCATAATGACAAGGGGCAGTTGGATTAGCCAAGTTTTGCGTAGGATCTTGAAAAACAACACAAAAGGCAATCCCCAGCCAGTTGGTACATGATGGTGGTGGAAGCTCCACATTTATTGAATGTCCCACACTCTGATTACTGAACCACTCTGGAATTTCACTTCCAGGCCATACAACATCTGGGTCCAGTTTTTGGGAATATAGATTCAGTCCCTGTAACAAAAGAACTATTTTAGAGAGAGAGAGAGAGGGAAAGAGAGAGGGGGGAGATAAAGAGAGAGTACCTTGGTCTGAGTGGCAATTCTTCGAACCCTTGAGAGTATTGTATTGTTCCAGCCTTCATCTTGAACCAATGCAGTGCAATTCTTGCAAGTGAAGTCAAAGTCATACAAATTGGTGAATCTGCTACTTAACTTGGATGGATCTGACAACCTTTTTAAGGAAGTACAATCTTTCACATTTACACATAATTCGCTGCTAGATGGAAGAGGTGGCAATTCTTGAAGGCTTTTGCACCCCTCCAAATCAAGATACTTGAGCTTAGAAAGGCATCTAATGCTTTCAGGTAGACTGACAAAATTATTTCCACTGAGAATCAATTCCACCAAAAAGGACAAGCAACCAATATCATCGGGGATGTCTCCTTCAGAGAGTTTACAATTACTTAGATATAACTCTTTCAATGAGCATAAACGATTTAGAGAAGACAATACCAAACCCCAACAAGGAGGATCAGGACGACTTTTTCTGAGTCCTAACAAGCGGAGAAAGCCCCATATGTCCCTTGCTTTAGCATCCAATCCGTCAAACACAAGACGTTTGAGATTTTTCATACCTACAAGTGGCTCGGTCATAGTGGCTCCCAATTCAAGCACCTCTAAGTGATCCATGTCTCCTGGGAGTTTGTCAAGTTTTGAGCATCCCATCATATCGAGATATGTAAGAGACTTCAAATTACAAATAGCCCTTGGAAGGTTCAAGAGATTTTTGCAATTACGTAGATACAAACCCTTAAGGCCAACTAGATGTCCTATTGATGAAGGTATTTTCTCGATCGCAGTCCCTTTTAAGGAAATCAGGGACAAATTCTTCATCTGCTCTCCAAATTCTGGAATCTTTTTCACATTTGAGCAGCCATCAAGATCGAAAGTCTCAAGAGAATCCATTTCAACCTCACTTGGGAGGCTATTAATGCTTTCACAGCCATGAAGGTACAAAACTTCAAGTCTTTTGAGGACTGCAATAGATGGGTGAATCTCAACTAAATTCTTACAATCCCAAAGAATCAACTTCCCAAGATTTGGAATACCACTGAAATCTGGGGTACTCATTAATTTATTGGAGTAGCTAAGATCGATATATTTCAAGTTGGGTAAGTCCTGTACAACATCGATAAGATTAAAATCATATATTTAGCTTCTACAACCTTTAAGTTTATTCAAAACAATAAATAAATAATATATAGTTATTTTGTAAATGAAATAACATTTATTCAATACTACTAACCTTTTTCCCCTCCCATAGTCGAACAAGTTTGCTCTTACGCATTTTAAGTTGAGTAAGCAAACGCAGTTGAAAGCTAGTTGGAAGAGACTTAGAATGATAGAAACTCCAATTTATAATTCTCAAGGAACATGGAAGAAATTTGGGGCCTGAAGAAAAAATCAAATTATCGAATTCCAAAAACCTCAGTCCATCCATCTTAGAGAAGGCTTCGCAATTCCATTGGCGTACCTCTTCTACTTTGAGCAAGCGTAGGGATATGGCTTCAATAGCCCCCGTTCCCTAACAATAAAGAAAAAAAGGCAAATTAATGGCAAATTAATTTCGCATTCAAGTCTAATATAGTGTCAAATAAAATTATATCTTCATCCAAACTTGGTATTTAACTTCTTACCGTATTCCCACCTCCTCCCTGTTAGTGTAAATGATATCGTATGTTCAAAAAAAAAAATCTTACCGAATTCGTCGTGAATATATGGTAAATGTCATTGTAGAGCCACAACCTACTGCGTAGACTAGGCTCTTTAGACTCATGACCAATAATTGTCCATGCCATTTCTTGTATCAAATCATGCATCCACATACGTTTTAGGTGATCTTGATAGAGGAGAGATTTCTCAATTAGCGAATCTATTAGAGTACTACTAGAAATTCCAAAAGAATTATCTAGTATTTCAATTACTTGCTTGGCGTACTTCCCTTTGTGGAAACATGCAACATCGAGAAAAATTCTCTTCTCCATCTCTTCTAGTCCATCAAAACTAATTTTAAGCTTATAAAAAATTGCTGGATTAGGAATTTTTGATAGATTATCCCGTACACTATTCCAAGCATCTAGCCCTCTCTTAAACAAAGTTGACCCCAAAGTTTCAAGAGCTAATGGAAGGCCTCCAGCATAATTAACGAAATACTTAGACAGTTCCAAAAACCCATCCTCAGGCAGATTTTTCTTAAAGGCATTTTGACTAAACAGTGCAAGAGCTTCATCATCATTTAACACCTTGACGTTATGACATAATGTTATGTCATGCTGGACCAGCAAACGTTCATTTCTAGTTGTAATGATAATTCTACTTCCCATGCCAAACCAATCTTTCTTTCTAGCTAGTACTTGTAGCTGGCTTATGTCATCCACATCATCAAGTACAAGAAGAACCTTTTTGTTGTGTAAGCACTTCTCGGTGTACTTGATTCCCGATTGTTGGTCCCGAATCTTTTCTTTCAACATCGGTAAAAGAAGTGTTTTTTGAAGACCACTTAGGGTAGGGTCTGCTTTAGAAACCTCTCTAACGTTGCGAAGAAAGCAATGAACATCAAAATGGTGGAAGGTTTTATCATAAACTAGCTCGGCAAGAGTAGTCTTGCCTATGCCACCCATCCCAGCTATCCCAATAAATCGAACATCATCTGCATCATAAGCTAACAACATACTTAGTTGCTCGAGTGCATAATCAGTTCCGACTAACTTCCTTGAGGAATCTAATAGCGTGAATGTAGCTTGCACTTTCCTCCACACGCTGTTGACGATTTTTTCTATGAGCTCACTTTCATCCCTACATGGTATAAAATAACCAATCAAAAAAGCATAAACGAAGAATTCAAGTTTGACTCTACTAAGACATAGGAAATTAAAGTTGTCCATGCATGCTTACTTAGATTCCTTCGAATGCCAGCCACAAATTTTGGACACTCTTTTTAGATCAGCTTTCCATTGGACCACCTTCTTTTTATCTTCGATACTGATCAACTTTTCTTCATGCTCCAAGAAGGCTTTGGCAAAACATCCCCGTTGATTTCCAACGTCAGATGGATCCGTCTCATAAAAGACCGGCAAAACTGAGTTCCTGGCTTCCATGAATTGAAGAATGGTTGTAAGTTCGTTCAAGCACCATTTAGAAGAAGCATAGTTTGGTGAGAGAACAACGATTGCAATATGCGATTCTTTGATCGCAGTCAGGAGCTCAAGGGAAATACTTGTTCCTCCTTCAAGCTCTCGATCGTCAAAGAAAGTAGAAATCCCTTGGCACTTGCACAGTTCATGGTATAAATGGGATACAAAACCCTTGCGGGTGTCTACACCCCTAAAACTCAAACACATCATACTTCCATCGAGGAGCTGATTCATTCGAAAGAAAAGATGCAGTAGCTCTTTGGGCGCTCAATGCCATCAGAAAAAAAAACAGTTGCTGTAAATTGGGTATTGCAAACAGTAACTGAATGAACAAGTAAAAAGATAGAAGATCAATGTTTTAAAATTTAAAAAAAAAAAATCTAAAACCTTAAATCTTCTTTTAGATGCAACTTTTATTCGTAACTGTTACATGGACTCATTGCAGTCTGATATTTGACTCAATACCAACACGTATTTGACAATTCGATTTGATCTTACAATCCTTGATAACTCAGTTTAAGCTATTGAATCATATTCAGTTACCGGAAAATGGATTCTGCAAAAAAAAAAAAAAAACTAGTAGTCAATGAACAAGTAAAACAAAAATGAGCAGGGAAAAGAAAATAGAAATTTAAAGGGTTTTTTTTAGCACCTCATATATTATTGAATACACCCCGTATTAAAATTTTTATTAAATAACTTATACACCCTAATATACAATGACTATTTAGGCCTTGTAAGTTTTTTTTTTTTTTTTTTTTTCAATAGAACTTCTAAATATACCTCAATCACTTTTTTTTTTAATAAAATTAATTATGCAAAGATTATTTTTCTCTTCAAGCTCTCCAAGTCACTCCCACCCTCCATCGTAGAACAAAACTCTAAATTATATATATATATATATATATAAACACATTGATTGAAAAAAAAATTTTTTTTGAGGAATGGAATATGAAATCAGTGTTTTGAAAGCTTCGCATGAAGTATGACTTTATAATTTTTTATTGTTTTAATGGTTTCATGCAAATTAAGGCCTTTTATATGCAACCAAAGGCTGGTGAGTGGATATTTTTCCTTATCAACGAAAATAGTTTTTTAACTGGTTATGGAACCTAAATGGTTTAAGTCAGTGCTTGACTAGTTATGGATAACTAAGGGTTGTTTTATTCACACTCCATATAATGTTGAATACACCTTATGCTGAATGCACCACATCCATTTTTTTATTTAAAATTTGTCTTAATACACCTCATATATTGCCGCTTAGTACTACAATCTAGTGGTATTCATTTGTAAGAAGTCTTAAGTTCGATTCTCGTCAAATACGAATTTGAACCATAATATTGTTAGCAAATTATGAAGCTAACCTATCCCTCTCCCCTTTATTGTAGATAATATCATTTCTTCAAAATAAAAAATTACACCTCATCTACTTTTTCATACTACCCTTACACCACATACTTTAAAATACACCCACATATCAGAACTTTTCTGCATTTTGCTGCTCAATTCTGCTATATATTGATCAACTAAAGCAGCATCATCTACTTCACTTTCACAACATATATTTCGACTTAAGTTGTCCATTTTTTCAATAATTGGAAAGCAATCATATTGGAAGGAATAATACGTTTTTCACAAGCATGAAAAGGAATATATCTGCTGCGTTTAGTGATTCAAATACAGGGTAAGGGTATAGAGTCTAAAAAAATATATCGCAGACAATAAACGTTCAATCTGAATACACATCGAAAATGATTTGGCGTGTATTAAAAAGTAATTTTCCTTTTTAACATATTTGGAGGCTTAAATAGTCGTTTCATATCACGGTATATAATTTGTTTAATAATAAATTTTCTTTAAATTGTATCCAACAATATGTGGGTGCAAATAAAAAGAGCGTATTCAACATAGGAAAATTTTCGTAAATGTCGTACCCAGTGCACAAGGCTCCCGCTTTACGCAGGGTCTGGGAGAGGTGAATGTCGGCTAGTGTATTCAACAGAGGAAAATTTTCGTATCAATAAATATTTTTGTGTGGGTAATTTCTTTTAAAAATTTATAGTGCCTAAATAGTCATTTCATATTAAGATACATGAGTCATTTAATAATAAAATTTTATGTGGGATGTATTCAATAATATATGAGGTGCTAATAAAAAAAACCCAAAACTAATTCCTTCTTACTATTGTCATTGCTAAGACAGTAAAACCCTCGGCCACAAAATGAATTGTTTCATGCAATTACAAATTACAATCGATTGCAGCAAGTTTTTGTTATTCGACGGTAATAAAATTCTTTTTTTCGTTTAACACCTAAATCTATGAGGATTCCAGTTGACGGTTACCAAGTTTTGGTTAGTTATCCAAATTTATCAATTTTTGTGTACTTAAATAGGATCGTTCACAAGGCGACTCCTCTACATTTGACAACATTGAGGCTGCACCTTGGATGTGGATAGTGTGGGTGTAGGATTTGGATTGTGTGGTTTGACGATATAATAGGAAAGTACTTGGAGGTGCGTCAATATCAATTTTAATTGGAAAAGTAGATATGAGATGTTTTAAGTATGTAAAATATATTCAATAATGGGGTGTGAATAAAACGACCCAACTTTAAATCTTCTTTTGGTAATTGAAAATGTATATTAAGCAAAACTTATTAAGGACTCAGAGAAAATACTAGAAAAATAAAATACAGGATCAATACAAATTTACACATGCAGAGAGAAGTGACAATAGGCAAGGCAAGAAGCAGAAAAATCACACTAAAAATTCTCACAACAAAGTTGTAGGAAGAGAGGAAATTGAGAGATAGGTAGGAATGAAAATAAATGGAAGGAGATGGACATCAGAGTAATTCTACTGGTAGTGGTGGTTTCGTGTCGGAAATAGTGTCAAATGATGAATTATTTTATTGACAAAAAAAAAGTTAGTATGACTATTTAGGGTGCTTCGTAGTATATGATATTTAGATGTTATAACTGTTATATTTTGATATTTGTATATTTAAATAAAGATTTAACAGTTAAAGCATTTAGAGTATCTCATACTCCTGAGTACCGTAAAATTTCCATATAAAAAACAATTGGTAACGGTCCAAAAAAAAACCAGAGAAGCTATAGATGAGAAATGGTTAAACAATTAGTAATACTTACTCACGCTTTTTTCATATGAAACAGGGTGTAATCGACATACTAGGTATTGTCACACCATAAAGTTAAAATACGATGTTGAGGCGGGGATCAATTTGAGCCACACCAGTGTAATGTTTCCGTGCAAGTGAATCTCCTTCAAAGAAGCAACAAGGAAACCCCGGTATATATGTACCAGTACTACCATTACAAAGCGAAAGGACAAGGATTTTCCACAATAAAAGTGGAAGACTGGCCATGACAAGTTTCGAGGAAGCTTCCTTGTTGGGGCGCGTTATCTTTCCTTACCTCCTCTTATCCCCAAAGTCATTGGATGCAGGACCGTCTTTCCAACTTTCTTATCAGAAAAGATGTTCATGTCTCTCTGTTTTTTCTAAAAAGGAAAGGGTAATGCTTATGTCTCCCACTAATCTAGGCTTTTTCACACGAACATCCCAATGAAAAAGAAGCAAAAAAATCACAAAAGGTAACCGTCAAAATTTGACAAAAGGCAAGTAAAGAAGCAAAAAAATCACAAGGTAAATCTCACAGAAAGTTGTAGGAAGAGAGGAAATTAAAAGAGAGGTAGGAATGGAAGTAAATGGGAGAAAAATGGACAACAAAGTAATTCTACTAGTAATGGTAGTGGTGGTTGTGGGGACCACATGATATAGTGGTGAATTATTTTATTGGTGAATTATTTCATTAACAAATAAAAGTTAGTATGACTATTGACCTAAGTAGGATCAAAATAACCAAAATCCTTGGGTGGTCTTTAGGATGGGATACTCCATTGTTTTAACTGTTATATTTTGATATTTGTATTTTTAACAAAAATTTAACAATTAAAACATTTACTACTTAATACCAAGATTTTAAAAAATACTAGGCGCTAATTGGACGGTGAGCTAAGGCCTAGCGCCTAGAAGGGCTAGGCGGCCTAGGTGGATTTAAGTAAATTTACTATCTATCATATAAATTAATTGAATTTACAATATTGTGTGTGTATATATATATAAATGAATTGAATTAAGGGAGCTTTATATATATAGACAAAAACTTTTACTATATTTCAAAGAACTCTACTAGTTTTTAAACATGTTAAAGAGAGACAAAAATATAAAAACAACTAAAACCCAGCCCAAAAACATGGAAACAATGTTTTCAAATATCAGCCATACCCCTAAGGCTTTAGGACTGTTATAGAACTCAGCTATCACAACTCCAACAAAATTAATGTGCCATAAGCTCAACTCATCATTGACTATTTTTGCAGAATCAGTTTTGAAACTATATGCAGAATTAGTTTGTATCCTTTATTACTAGAATCAATTCAACCCATCATCGGCTATTTTTGCAGAATCAGTTCAATCATTCATCGACCATTTTTGCATAATCAGTTCAACCTGTCGTCGACCATTTTTACAAAATCAGTTCAACCTCTCTTCGATCGTTTTTTTTCTTCAGAATCAGTTAAACCCGTCATTGACCATTTTTGCATAATCGATTCAACCTGTCGTCCTGCAGTTCAACCTATCCTTGACTATTTTTGTAGAATCAGTTCAACGTATCCTCAACCGTTTTTGCAGAATCAGTTTAACTCGTCCGCAATTCAACCCATCCTCTACCATTTT